TTTGTAGTTCAGTCGTTGGAGTGAGTATTTTTTTTTGGGTGAACCGAAAAAAGAAACGTTCATGTGTACAGTGTTACAAATGTATTGAACATGTACAAACTAGGGTTTCCCATTAATGTAGGGGGCGCTACAGTGGAATACGCACATACACAGTGTAACCGCGACTCTTACAATGAAGGCTCGATAATAAGCTCACAGCATATAAAATGGCATATAGGTGTAAGCAGAGGTAAAGTGCTATTTTAAAAGTGGGGGGGGTGGTCCTCACCTCCTCTAGGGGGGTCCGGGGGCATGCTCCCCCAGGAAGATTTTTTTTTAAATATTGAAGTTATATGCATCAACCTGGTGCACTTTAAGAGCAAAATGAATTTAAGGATACAGCTCTCAACACCCATATGAAACAGAACTGTAAACAGATTTTCTTTTTCTTTATGGATATTTTACAAATAACTCATTTAAACTTTATTCTTGTTTTACTGTAATAGTATTTCATAACTGTTTTTCATTTATTCTCATAAATGGTGACCAAAACGTTTGAGAACCACTGAGATAACTAGACTAAAGTTAACTATCTAAACAGAGTCCCTTACCTCACTGAGCTGTTATCTCTCTCAGTCTGACGGGAGAGAGCTCTCCCTCTAATTGTTTGAGAAACAGCTTCTAATATCCGTTAGCGCAGCTAGTTACCCAGATGCTAACAACAACAATGCAAATAGTGAGTTTGGTAGAAATATACTGTATAATAGTAAAGTTATTTAAGATGATGCCATATTTTTTGAAGATTTGTAAATATTCCCCAAAATTATTCAAAAGCATATTCTTCAAAACTCTCTGCTGTAGTATGACCAACAGAAGACTATTGATGTGTGTGTAGTGAGTTTGGCAGTAATAAGCTTTATAATAGTGATTGCACTTTGCAGACGGTCCCTGAGCACTCGTTTCTTCTCCGGCTGCAGATAGAGACCAATGTAATGTGTCCAGCTCGGAGGGCGGCGCGTATTGGCTTTTTTTTGGATCAAAATGTGATTGTAGTTCGTTGTCAACCTTACCACGGTACTTACAGTAGGAGACGTCATTTGTGTCTGAATAACGTTTTGTTAATGAGTTATTGATCCGTGAAATATGAATCTCCCAATATCGTTCCAACTTTACTGAAGCCAGAAGACCGTCTCATTTCATAGACTGCTCGGTTTGCTGTTCCTTCACTTTATTTTTATATTTATATACATTTATTTTGGACGAAAACTTAGCGTGAGAAAAGTCAAGTGTGGCGTGAGTGCGTGAGATATGGGTTAATTGCGTGACTCTCACGCTCAATGCGTGGGTGTTGGCAGCCCTGATAAAAGGATTAGTCTATATAAACAATAGAAGCACAGAGAACAGAATAAACAGAATAAAAAAGTGTGAGCATTACAAGAAAAAGTGATATACATACATACACACACATATATATATATATATATATATGCAAAAATAGAAAGTGATTTCATTCATTTTAAGGGTGTATTATTCCAACATTCGTACCAAGCACTTATACTATAACAGTTTCCTCTCATTAGTTTTAATGAATATATTATTAGCAGTAGTAGTAGAAGGATTATGACCTACTTATAGTAGGTACTGCTATTACTATAGTAACACTATTAGTGGCTGGAGTGTTAGCAGTAAGCTTTAAATAGCACATTTCATTCCAAGTGGAAGCACAATGTGCCGCACAATGTGTCAGCTACAATGGTGGTTGCAGGCATGTGGATAGTGAACACAATAAAAGAGACGCGTAAAATAAATTAAAACCGTTAAGGAAAAAGGATCCATAACATCAAGTTGACAACCGATTATTCAAGAAAACCAGCATTACAACATAACTGCACTCAAGTTATTTAGTTGGAGTATACAACAAAACCTCAGAAACAACAATAATACAAAGAAGGTAGTAACATTGCACTCATATATACTGTAAATAATATTAATTAAAATATAATAATCATTTTAGAAAATACAAAAGACACACATACACCCACACAAAGGCCTCTTAAATCATCATCATTGCTTAAGTCCTCACCTCTATGCAATGGGGTAGAGAAGGCGTAACAAGTATTTACCATATGAGGCATATTTCTGCCTTGGAATGATAAATAAAATAACAAATATTGTTCTTATTTTCAGTTCCCCGGGTAATTTCAAGGTTATGTATTGGTCTCTTTAGTTATTTTACTTTGATATTGTGAAAATGCCCATTTTAACATCCTTTAATGTTTTATTCTCTGGGCAGAGCGTGAGCTGTTGATCCTGAAGCGCCTACAGGACGTGGACATCCAGGAAGACCAGAACGCCGTGTTTGTTTGTGAGATCTCAGTGGAGGACCTGCAAGGAGAATGGTACAAAAACGGGGAGAGGATTCAACCCACCAGCACCATCAAGATCCGGCAGGAAGGTCAGCATAAAAATCACAAACATGTGATGCTAATAAATACCATTAACGAGATTAACAACACTCTAAAACTGTATAATCTCAACAACAACAAAACATTTTTAGATCCTTAAATAATATTTAAAATGTCTTATTATCTGTACTGTTATTTATCTTGACAATGTTGTTTCTGATTTTAGGGACCAAACATTTTCTTCTGATGTGTAATGTGAAAGCAGAGGACTCTGGAGAGATCAAGTTTGTCACCAGACACGTTGAATCTGTTGCCCGCCTGGAGGTGGAAGGTATCACACATATGTATTTGAAAAATGAATATTACGGACGATTACTGTTAATATTTAACTAATAATAACTAAATGTTTTTTCTGTGGATACATACTATAAAATATGGAAGCCCGTTTCTGCCAGTAGAAAAGAAACATATGAACTTGGGGTTGTGATGAGAAAAAAATATGCTTTCTTAAAATGATGAAATAAGTAGGTCATTATTTCTTATGAAAGTCCCCAAAGTTTATTTTAAGATAGGCAAGTAATTATTTGGAGGGAAGTTATCTGTATTTGGAACAAGTGGTATTTTTTTTAATGTTCTCTTTCTAGTTTTTTAAAGGTTTATTATTTTGCGAAACAATTTTTTCAGGAAAAATTGAAGTCTTCTATCAAGTTTATATTGATCAGTCTTAATATAATTGTTTCCCATTGCAGAGCTTCCGGTCAACATTGTGAAGCCTTTAGAGGATACGACCGCCCTGGAGAAGACGCGTGTTCTGCTCGACTGCACCGTGTCCAACCCCAGATGCAGCATCCGCTGGTACAAAGGCAGCAACGTTATCCTGCCCTCTGAACGCTTCGAGATATGCAGCGAGGGCTGCTACCGCAAACTGATCATGCAGCAGGTGGCGCTGGATGATGCGGGCACGTACAGTGTGCAGGTTGGAGAGTATACATGCTCTGCAAAACTCACAGTGGAGGGTAAGAAGTCCATGACCAATTTCAAGCACTGCTAAATTTAAATTTAAAGTAAGTTTATTTTTTTCCGTCTCAGAGTGAAATATAATTTCACTTTAATTTTATGATATAAACACAAAGCAGTAAGGAAAGATAGGCAAACTGACTTTCAATAGATATCTTAAATACAAATGTACCAGGTGCTCTTTTTAGCAGGATATTACATGTATTACTGCTGCTCTTGTTTTATACCCAGTATCAGAGGTGGGAGAGGTACTCAGATCTTGTACTTGAGTAAAAGTAGAAGTACCAGAGTGTAGGAATACTCTGTTACAAGTAAAAGTCCTGCAATCAAAATGTTAC